AATTGTGTAATAGAACAAAGAAAAACGTTTTTGTTTTGCTCTTTTTTTGTTTATAGCGCAAAAAATAAAACACCCAGTGGCAATTAAATACCACCAAAAGAAAGCTCCATTTGTGTGAAACAAATTATAAAATTTTCATTTGGGTACAGTGTTGCATGACAGTGCAATTGTCATTCAAAGCACAACAGCGCTAAAAGCTGAAAATTGGCCTGGGCAGAAAGGAGGGTATAAGTGCTTATTAGGCAAGTGGTTAATTAACCTCTTCATGCTGCAGCATGAAGGGATTAATAAATGGTGCCACTGTCGACTAATGCAGCACAAAGAGGTTAATTAACGCTGCCACTAATCACTGGGGAGAGAGATGTCTAAATATCACTGCCACACTGACCATCCATGAAAAAATATTAAACTGGAATTCTAGCTTAAACCTAACCAGCCTTAAAAATTACCCCTCTGCCTCCTAAAACCCGTGCTGACTAACCTATTTTCAGGCCACTCCACTTCAATCACATGATCTCCCTATGTGAGCCAACGGCATAGGCAGAGGAGGAGAGGAGAGAACATTGGTAATGGCTGAGCTATGGGTGATGTCACTACTCCAGGCTTTACCAGTCTTTGTAGGGTGCTTTCTCCTCTCCTCTGCAACCACAGCTGGTTGATAAAAGGAGGATCATGTGACTGAACCGGAGCAGTCTTACAGTAGGTAAATGTACAAGTCTTTTTTCTTTTTTTTATACACAGTTCAGTAAGTATAGATATTCAGAGAGGGGATGGGGAATTTTTAAGGCTAGTTAGGTTTAAGCCAGAATGTCACTTTCAGATCACCAATGAAGGGGATTTAAATAGCATAACGTCACTGGCTACCACTGCTGGGGGTTATTATTGCCACTACGGAAACCAGTGCTGGGGATTATTAACGCAGAATCTGGTTTTGAAAAGACGCTGACTCTTTCATAAGAAATGAGGGGGAGCACTTTGCCATTTCACCCTGGGCCCCAGATGATCTTATCTCACTGTATACCATAGTTTGTGGACTCTATAACTTTCCTACAGAATGAATAATATACACTGATTTGGTGTTTATATTTACCAAAGAAAGGTAGCAGTATACTGTATATTCAGGAAAAATTTATTTGCAAAATGTTATACCAGAATCGAAGAAAAACGTGTTTCTTTTTTTCAAAATGTTCATTGTTTTGTAGTTTATTTAGTGAGGAATAAAAAACCCAGTGGTGAATAACCACTTGCCCACCACCCTATAGTAGAAGTACTGTTACGTGGTGGCAGGGCTATTCAAAATCATGTATATATATATGTGACTTGCATTTCCAGGTAGGGGGTGCACACGTCGCCCTACCCGAGGCTTAATTGGTGGCTAGGGATATCAATCACTGAGTCCCGGACCGCAGTTCTCGGCCTACACTTGGTGATCATCATGGAAAGCTGACAGGGGAGAGACCTGTGTGTAAACGACACAGGACTCTCCTGTCAGCAAGGACATGCTGCTTTGTATTTCTCTGCACAGCAAAACAGTAGTAGTAACAGTAGTAGTATAGTAGTAGTGGTAAAACACACGCAGCACATAATGTAAAACACACACAGCACACAGTTAACCGATTGATTGCCCCAGATGTTCCTGCCCAGTGTCATTAGTACAGTGTCAGTGCTTTTTATTAGCACTAATGACTGTATTAGTGTCACTGGTGATGTCAGTGGTAGTTAGTCAGTTCCCATCCAGTGTCAGAATGCCTGCCGCAGTCCCGCTATAGGTAGCTGAACGCCACCACTACTAGTATACAAAAAAAAAATTCCAGTATATATTACCATTTGAATATGCTATAACTTTCACGTAAGCCAAAATAATTTACACATATTGGGATTTTTTTTTTTTAGCAAAGACATGTAGCAGAATACATTTTGGCCTAAATTTATGAAGAAATTAGATTTTTTTATTTTTTTTTTATTGGATATGTTTTATAGTCAAACGTCAAAAATATTGTTTTTTTTTTTTTTTAATTGTCAGTCTTTTTTTGTTTATAGCGCAAAAAATATAAAACACAGAGGTGATCAAATACCACCGAAGGAATTTAATTTATGTACAGCATTGCAGGATTGGGTAATTGTCAGTTAAAGTAACGCAGCGCCATATATCAAAAAGTGCCTGGTCTGGAAGGGGGGTTAATCCTCTGGAGGGCAAGTAGTTAAAAGAACACAAAAAATAACTTATAAGAGCTGCCAACAGCAGCTATTGTTAGTATTAATATGATCTGTTTTGCATAGCACCTAATGCAAAGTATTGACTGTGAGATATTGACTGTGACATGTCTAGATGTAAGTGAGTTGACCTCTATACCAAAAATACCAGAAACAATGGCAACAACATAGATAAAAACACTGGAAGAGGGAGGTCACTCACAGTCTGTTTTCTGATGAAAGATGATGTTGTCTGTAAAGATTTATATTTACACTGGAAAACAGTTTAACTTAATTAGTGAATGTCATGTGTAAATTGGTTATTTGCATAAAGAAATTAACAGGTTTTACATGAGCATTGGCTTAGCAGTTATCCATTTCTTTGTATTTATTTCATTTCAAATGAAATAAAAAGGCAAACAACCCATTGCAAAGGTGGGTCCAGGGGATAATAAACTTGTGCGACATTCAGTAATCAATAGCAACTAATTCAGTTTAGAGTAGTCAGTGCAGTTCTCCCTATTCCTCCCTCTCACTCTGCTTCCATTCATCCATAAATAAAAATCCCCACAAATCCCCATTTTGCTCACTTGATTCCAATGTTACATGCACCTCCTTGGCACTTCTTTCAGTCATTTCAAGTCATTGATACACTACTGAAGTGTAGGTCTCCCACCATATGGTAACCAAAAAATGTTGAATACTGGACTTCGCCACAGATATAAAACACAAACATTGGGTTCCAATGTTGTAGGGAAGCAGATATTTTTTCTTTGGTGATCTCCAAAGCAATAAATATGTATGAAATAGAAAAACAGCGTTACCCATACCCCCTTTTCTTATACCCAAATTCTAGCAAATATTATTCAAAATGTCACGTGCTGCCGTGCAAATCAATGTCAATTATAGCAGGTTACTTGAAAAACACAAAGTGCAAAAAGCAAAGTGCTGTGTAAAACATCTTTACAGCTAAAAGTGTAACAGCGCAATAAATAATTACCATGCAATAAATATCTAATTCATATGATAATGATAATTGCTCAAGTTTAATTGAGTGGATGAAGACCAGTCAATTTGCTTTGACCACCATCACTCTGTCCTAGTGAATTGCATTGTCCTGGAAGCAGGCCCACACTTTTGGATAATAATGACCTCTGCAAAGCCTTGGAACATGCAGTTACAGATTAGGTCTTCCTCCCATTGGGACCATGTGCCTTCAGTTTTCTCCATTATGTGCTTTAGAACATAGGGATAGTTGAAGCCCCACTTCAGAACTGTCTTCTTCTGGACTTCTTGCTGGAAGCATGAGAAGTGAGGCAGTTTCTTTAGTTTTCCTTTTACTGGTGAACTTATGATTCAGTTGACCTGATTAATTCTTTAAAAGCAAAATTGTGCACTTATGCTGGCCCAATAAGTAGGAGGACCAGACTGCACCCTCATTTCCACATAAACTTTCTTCAGCTGAACTTCCTGGGCACTCTGCAGCACTTGCTCCACTACAGACTCTTGGTCTGGAAGGTCAAGGGTGCTAGACTTCTGCGACCCTGCAGACAGTGTCTCTTCCTTGCCTAGGGTGTCCCCCCAGTCCCAACTGACATCAGATGAACTAGCCAATTCTTCCCACTAGGGCATTGCTGTGTCGCTGGTCTGCATTGGTGATCTCACTGAGCTGAGCCCGACAAATGTCCCCTGCTTGCCTTGGCTGATCTCCTACCCAACCGTGGGTGAACTCCCATGCTCCCCAGCTTGTGCTTGTCTGTGACACAGCCCCAGCTTGGCTGTGTCCCTCTCATAATCATGCAGCCAAATAGGATGTTTCTGTCACCTCTGTGCATAGTCTTGTATGCAGGTCAATGGTGTAGGTCACTGGAGGAAGGCTGCTTGGTTTTAGTTCCATTAGCAGGTCTCCACAATACACGCACCTTATCCATGCCTTCACTGCATTCATGGGTCTCCAACATCCTGCACACATCAGGCACAATCTCTCCACTCCTCCAACCATACCAAATGTGAACCCTCCTCAGTGGACTATCTAATCTCCGGTGTCCACTATTTGTTTCTGCCACACTGGCACATGGCCCTGCACCCCAGGCACTGTAGCTAAAGAACCGCATGTATGCAGCCACCCTGCTACTCTTGCACACATGCTGAGTATACTGCTTCTTCTGGGACCTGCAGCTCAGCCCCTCTCTGAGACACACTGGCACCCGTCTCCTCCTGTGTACAGCAGTATCTTCCTTTGCCACTGTTAACTCTTTCTGTGCTGTAACAAAGTTTACTAACTTCGCTTCTAGAGTAAAGGGTGTGATTTCTAAACTAGTGGGATGAAAAATCCCTTGGCAAGGATACAGTCTCTCTCCTGCCAAGGCTGCCCTGAACACACTGCAGTTTTCCAACTCACTGTTTTGCATTTGGTTACTACTGGTAATGGCAGTTTAAATTTTTAGCAAAAAATACAGCATCTGGTTTTTGGTTAGGCAGTAAGTATTGCAGCAACTCCACTCCTGCTCTGAATGATTTGGTGATGCTATTGGTGAAGGTTGTGTAACTTTGAGGGAAATATCCTGAATGAGCCCCCACATGTAGCGTTACCCCCATCAGAGCTACTGGTATAAATAGTATAAAGGCGATGTGGTGCTACTACCCAGGGGCAAACTGAAAACTCATGGGGAAATAAGAGATAATGGGGCCCCCTGTGTCTCCGCCTACATTCAAGCCACACCCACACAACACCCCACCTACATATTGCAGCTCAGTTAGATAAAAAGGGCATTAAAACAAATTTAAATAATAATAAAACAACATTGTGGGGTCCCCCCTCCATTCATAACAAACCTTTGGGTCTGGTATGGGTTTTGAGGGGAAGCCCCATGCCAAAATTAAAACAAAATGGCATGGGGTCCCCCCAAGATCCATACCAGACCCTTATCTTAGCATGCAGCCTGGCAGGTCAGGAAAGGGGGAGGGACAAGCAAGCCCCCCATCCTGAACCATACCAGGCCACATGCCCTCAACATGGGGGGGTGCTGTGAGGGGGTTCCCCCCAAAGCACTTTGTCCCCATGTTGATGGGAACAAGGGCATCCTCCCCACAACCCTGGACGGTGGTTTTGGGGGTCTGTGGGCGGGGGGTTTATCGGAATATGGAAGCCCCCTTTAGCAAAGGGGCCTCAGATCCCGCCCCCCCATGTGAATGAGTATGTGGTACATGGTACCACTACCCATTCACAAAATAAAAAGTGTAGTGTGAAAAAAGACAGGAGACAGTCTTTAAAAGTCCTTTATTAAAAGAAGAAAAATAAAAGAGTGCCCCCTGAAGTAGATCCAATGTCAATCACGATGCCCACTGCCACCCAAAAAAGAAAAAAAAAAGCTCTGCTACCAACGCTGGCTCCCGGCACTTGACTGTTCCGCTGGCTTGACAGTTCTTAAATATGTAAGGGACGGGGCCACCTTTGGACATCACATGTGTGACCCCGCCCCTTGTGGCCTCATCAACATGCTAGGGCAATGATGTCACAAGGAGGTGGGGCCAAATTTGTGATGTCACTGGGTCTCCCCGCCCCTTACATATTTAAGCACTGTGAAGCCAGCAGAGCAGTCAGATGGCCGGGATCCAACGTTGGGAGTGGAGCCGTTTTTATTTTCTTTTTTCGGGTAGCAGCGGTGGCGGGCATCGTGATTGATGTTGGATTTACTTCGGGGGACATTCTTTTATTTTTCATCTTTTAATAAAGGACTTGTCAAAGACTGTCTCCTGACTTCTTTCACACTACACTTTTTTTTGTGAATGGGTAGCGGTACAATGTACCCCATATTCATTCACAATGGGGGGGGGGTGTCAGGATCTGGGGGCCCCTTTGCTAAAGGGGGTTCCAGATTCCAATAAGGTTGTGGGGAAGAGGCCCTTGTCCCCATCAACATGAAAACTTTGCTTTTGTGAGGTAAGTTAAATCAGCATTTAGATTTATTTTAATTAAATGTAGCAATTAGTTAGTGGGGGGGGGGTTAAAGGTATGTGTGTGTGTGTGTGTGTGTGTGTGTGTGTGTGTGTGTGTGTGTGTGTGTCATGTGTGTTGGGGGGGGGGTTAATTGTTATTAGTTACATCATCTATCAATACAACTAGATTAAGAGTGGACAACATGGATTGTTGAAGCTAGCATTGAAGTACAACTAAAGGCACCTGACATCTGTCTTTAACTTCCTGTTTTGGCTATGGGACAGAAAATGAAGATAAATATTTGCAATGGGACACAGATAGCAAAAAAAAACCTGGGTTTATTATAACCCTCCTGTACCCTACCCAAAATTAAAAAAAAAAAAAAAACTGCCTTTAGTTCGACTTTTAGGAAAAGACTGGTATCTATCAAAAAGGAAATATCATTTTTATTATTCAGTACACTAGTCTTACCCCAAATATAAAGCAGTGAGAAAAGGAAAAAAATCAGAAACCAGATGATTACAAATGTGTCTAGGCCACCCTACTACTATAGATCTTGCTCACCAAATATTGGAACTAAAACTGTTCATCTGTTTGTGGCTGATCGCTATCTTCTAAACACTTTGTATAATTAATACAAATACATTAAATGAATAATAAATAAAATGTAACTTTTTTTTCTAATATTGGCTAAAGGGTTAGAATCTCTTTCAAAATTATTTTTGTCTGTGCCAGTATTGGAGTTGATTTTACCTTACTCTCTGTTTCAGAAATACAACAGGACATAATAGGACATAAGAGGAAATTTCCCTAAAGTGAAATTGAATCCCAGTTGTTTTCAAAATAATTGTCCCCATTGGGGTCTTATTCCATGGATAATTTTAGATTTTACCACATTTTCTCTTACCACCAGGGCAAAAAATTAAAGTCAATCTCCTCAATGAGGGCACAAAGAGCAACAAAAACGTGAAATAGGTTTTAACCCATTCCTATTCTATTAAAAACAAAAAAAGGGCTTTGGTTGGAGTTACTGTTACTAAACTCTGCATCCTAAATTATTCCAGAAAAAAGTACTAATGAAATTAAGAATAAGGGTAATATCCAGTGATTAATTGTCAATAAAATTGCCAATAAGCACTCTACTTAAACTATTTGTATGTCTATTGTATTTGATAATATAGCCAGTGACAATCCAGATGTGGATTTTTACAACATTTTGTTCAGCAGTAATAATATCTAAATATTTGTTTGATATTTTGAATATGACCAAAATATGTTTGAACCTTTTGAGAATATTTGAGCCTTCTTTGTAAATAGAAAAAACAATCTCATATCCTTACATTAAGGCAAGTGATCCAATTAAAATCAGTAGACTTGGAGACATGAGAGTAATGTGTAAATCATACTCTACATAGCATCTCTAACCCTCCAATAAACCACTTAAACAATAGGATAAAAAGTACTTTTCTGGTCTGTTATTCATTTTGCCTTCCACCTTTGAGGCAGATAATAACCTGAGAGAATGTGAAGCACAACATATTTGGTTTGTAAGTTTTGAATGTTCAAGTACAATTGTTTGAGGCACAGAGGGGAGTGTATATTGCATGCTAAACTACACCTCATATATGCACCACTATTTTGTTCTATAACAAAATTAGGAGAAATTTCTCTATGCATGTAAATTATATATTTATTTATAACTCCTAATCTGCATCTCACCCAGGTTCATGTAAAAGTCATTGAATCTGCATGACAGCTAAGCATACCAAGCATTTTCAAGTAGAGAAGTCACAGATGACAACATCCATTTACTCTCAGTACAGGTTTCCTTTAAGGAATTAAAAAGGAAAATAGAAATATACAGTATAAAAACAGTAAAACATATTGCCAGGAAATATTTACTGGTCATCATTTTTTTCCCAGTGTGAATATTTATCATTGGTAAACATCTCTTCACAGCAACCAAAATCTTGCCCTAAAAATAAATGTTCATATTGTCAGCACCTGTCCAGATTCCAGTGTGAGCTGAACCAGATGTGCTCTATAAAGCAGATGTTTTATCATTATGAAACAGTTTTGCATTTAAAAATAGCAAGCAAAATTGTATTAGCAATTTAATTGCACTGGTCTAAAACAATATTGTTGTGTTAATTTTTTTAAACTATTTACAAAAGCATGCATACATTAAACTAGGTATTAGCTTCACTATATGTAAAACCTTACAGTTGATTTGTGCAAATTGCACAATGTTATTAAATAAACCTTTTAGAGAAGTCAGAAACAATTTCACAGACAATTTAATCTAATCTCTTATCATCCTTTAACAGTGCAGTGTTTCGAAAGCAGATTTCCCCAGCAATATGCACTGGACATATGGCAATCTCTGAACACATTCTCAGAGACCTCCAAATGGTGTTGTCTTGGCATTCGTTTTACTTACCTGTTTCATCTTTTACCACTGTGTTAAACAATGCTGTAAACACTGCTGCTACTTTATTAGATATAAACATTGTACTTTTTTTCCCAAAGGTAAATTTGTAAATTCATATTTTTATTACAACTTTTCATTCTGTCTCTTTAGAAGCCATTATTTTTACCGATGTTTATTAGCAAAATGTAACTTTTCTGTATGACTTTTCTTGTGGTTAAATGTATTATTATTAATCAACATAATTAATAATTCCTTGCTCCCTTCCTGATTTGAATACTTTAATTATGGCAGTTAAGGGAAATTTAATGCTGGCTTTGCTATATCACAGCGTATTGGCACAGCTTACCATCAGCAAACTACATTTCTTGTTTGGGGATGAGGTTCAAGGTTGCAGTGAAATTAGGTTCTCTGCAAACTCTGGCTGTTCACAGTTCACCTGAACAGCATTCTAAAGGGCACAATCATCAAAAGCAAACTCACATAATGCTTTGCCTGACCTATGAACTGTGGTTAGGTGCTAGAGTGTGTCCAATATGGGGTTTTCGCAGATGTGCTAGTCCCCTCCATATAAAAGGCAATTCTCCCATCTGCTTTTTGTCAGTTGTTTTGGAGTTAGAGTAGTAAGAGAAAGTTGATAGTTATTGCAGGGAAAGATAGTTAGTGATACTGTGCTATACAGTGCTATTGTATTATCTACAGAGCTCTACTGTGCTGTATACTGTATAGTGTTGTATAGTTCCACTATTACAAAATTGTGAATTTAAATGTGGTGGGCTACAGAGAGTGTAATGTATCCCCCATCCTGTATTTACTGTGCTGTTCAGTGCTTCATTAAAGTGAATTTCTTGTGGCACATACCACTCAATGTATTGCATTGCAAAGACCCAACAGTCTTTTTTTATGGATACTTTTTGTGTGTGTCATTGTGAGGGTTTTTTTTTTGTGTGTTTTTTTGTTTTTTTTTCTTTAACGTTGGTGTTTGGAGTGTAATGTTTTCTTTTTATTTTTTTTTGTGGGAGGCATGCTGATGACACAGTCAAAGCTGCCTTTTCTTGGCAAAACAATACCGCATATTATTGGGGTGAAAGTTACTCCTCCAAATCACAGAATTATGCATTGCACCAAAGCACCACATCCAAAATCTTCCTATTGCTCTATCTTTGAATAAAATTAGGCAATCCTCTGTTGCCATTATGCTGGGTGGCTTATAGGGCAAGGCAGAGGTTGGCCACATGTAGATAATAGGGGACAAGCAGTTTCTACAACCACAGACCAAATTGTTGGTCAGGCTACATATATTTGCATTTTCTTCAGGCTTTGGGTGTGCTATGTAGAGCCCACAGACGAAGTGATGGTAAAGAAGTCTTTATCATTTTCATACTTCTCCCATTCATAAAGTTGTGCAGTATCAGCATTAGCTGCAAATGCATCCTCTTCTTCCTCCTCTTTTACAACTAATCTCTATTACAAGGGGTTTTAATGCATAGGTTATGGAACATCAAGCAAGGAAAAGAGTCAACATGAGGCAACAATTAGTAGGGCCAAGTTTAGGCTTCAAATGTACTTTAAGTCTCCTAGCCTTGCCCTACAAACTCTAGTTACCTTCTTAATCAGGCAGGTAGTTCTTATCCTTCTTTGCAAAACTGCCAGGTTTACAGTTGCCCCCGTTCCAGCTATTTGCTGTGATTTTCAGACTATCTTATACCACAGCTGTAGGTACTGGTTACAATTACTTTGCCCAGAAGGCCATCCCTGTGCTCCATC